TGTCAGATGACCAGTCCTCGTGAAGCCAAGCTCCCAGGTACTTGAATAGCTAAAAAAATAGCTTAAAACAACTAAATATTTATAATTGGCTACCTACTTCTACAAATTAACATTTTCTATTACCCACACAAAAGCTCTTCAGCAGTTTTCTCCTTAATTTATGTAATTAATCAGTAGCGTAAGCTCATGCCTGACTCCCAAGATAAGCTCAGTTAGTGGAAGCCGAGCCCTGCAGAACAGAACATTTTTTCCTCAAAGTGTTCCTCGTACTGGAGTGGAGGTGCTTAGAATTGATTGAGTGGCATTATGTCACGAAAGCCTATTTAACGAGTGTGGAGTAAAATTTAATTGGCTTAATGGTTCTCGAATTTTAAACCATGCGTGATACCGAATGAAAAATTTGAGTATAAATATAATGAGGTAATATTACGGTGTAGTATGGGCATATAATTCGTTTCAAAAATTATTAGATAATGGAAATGATGACGGACTTAGATATACTAGAGGACACTTATAGTAACCTAATATGGAATATTTAGTTTTTGTATTATATAAAAAAAAATCTTTTTAAAACGTTTAAAAAATTTTTTTAAACCAAACATATTGAACATAAATAAGGCACCTAAATATGATATATAAAAACCAATTGTTATGTTTTTAACAGCAGGATACGGGACGCCGGCGTCGCGTCAGAAATGTCGGCATCGTTTCAGATACCCTAAATTGAACAAAAATATAATTATTAGAAAAGATAAATTTTGAACAAAATAATTCACTAACCCAAATTAAATTTCCCTTACGTTTCCGTTTTTAGATAGAGATTATTTTAGGAAGAGTTTCGGTATAAACGTACGAAACTTTTTCTTTGTAAATTACCTTTGTGGCGAGAAATTATCCCGGGGAGCATATTCGAAGCATGCGGGGCGGTCAAAGACCTGGAATTTATACCTCTATATGGGAACATTTCGGTTTAACCAACCGTACATGCTACTTAGTTAAGGCTTAAGAAATACTTTCTAGAATAAGTCGAAGATATAGTTTGGAGGGAGCATTTAAATGGAATTTAAGGTTAAATGAAATTCTAGTTGAAAGTTATTTACAAAGTCGGTATTCTATTAATGGAGTTCCCGAGAGTTTCAACCCCTTTACTATATCGTGTTTATACAAATTAGTTTAAAATAATATTTAGTATATTTTTTCCATAGCAACTGTTAAAATTGCCTTTTATCTATCAAAAATAGTAGATGGGTAGATTAAAAGGGTAGATTAAAAAATGATACTTTAACAGCGAGGATAGGTTAAAAACTTTAATTCTTCTCGCGCGTTTTTTAATTGCTTCCATTTTTGAAAAATTTTGTATTGCTTTTCATAAGTTATTCGGGATTTAAATGGAAGTAGTTTGGATATGGCCTTTATCGCCTCAACCTGAATATCTGTTGGTAATTTCCTTATTTCGTTTTAAGCCATTTGTGGCTACAATGAGGAAGATGCATATATTTTATTTTTCGCCAGAAACTGTTCAATTTATTAGAATAAATATGTGTAAATGCAAAAAAAAACTTTTTTCTTTAAAAAATGATTGTTTTTGTTATATTCTGGATATATCAGATTTATCAATCTATTCTAGCAAACAGTATACAGGGTGGTGACAATTTTGATGCTCAACATTCTTGATTAGTATCTTGATTAATTTCCGATTTATGCCAAAAAATTAAAATAATGGATTATTTATTTTAAATTACAATATCTTTAAATTATTATGTACTGCAATGTAAGTTTATATATTTTTTATTTTATATCCCTGTTTTAGGGTAATATTATTGCGTTACTGACTACTTTAAAAAAACCTTTTACATAACTAGGTACTATATCCCAGTAATACAGCGAATTTTCTTAAAATGTTATCAAATGAAAGACATATTAATTAGCGTTAGATAGAAGCATATTGAACTAAAAATACCCAAATTACTCTATAATGAGCACATCAAGGTTTAATTTAAATAATAACCAAGGGTTTTTAAGTGAAGCCATTTGTGCTTTATATAGTCGCTTATAAACCAATTATGCAGGCTCAAAACAAAAAAATTATCCTTTTGGTGTGGCTGTCGCTTTTATAAAGGCTTATTGGTAATATATAAAAGAAATATATTATTTAGCTCTCTAAGAAGGTTCTAACAACTATATTAAAAAGCCATATTGCTTAAAAAGCTATTTAGTGTGAATTAACAATTTAATAAAATTTATTAAAGTACCTCAGATATTTATAAAACAATTATAAAGATTAAAGCGATATGAAAGAGCACCTTTGTGTTACTTGGGCAGGTGGCCAAAATTCTACATATTCAGTTAATCTAAAATACAAATATATAATACTAAAAAGAAAATATAGGAACTAGTGGGGTTGCAGTCGGAAGGGTTCCCACTAGTTCCCAGATTTTCTTTCTCACTAGTCATTCGATGTCGATACTACTGTCTGCTAAATATATTAAATTTAAATCTATATGAGTATGAAAATTTTGCACGGACGCTCCTTGGGTGAGGTAATTAAGCATTAAGGGCCGATTGTACAAAAATCGCCCTCTGAGGGAATGAAATTAGGGGGTCAATATTGTAAGTATAATTTTTTTTTTAAATCTGTCCTAGAACTATGAAAGTTTACACAGAGGTCTCTTAAGCGCCGTCATTAAATACTAAGAAGCAATTTTCGGAAATTCAATCTTTAAGGGGGTGAAACTACTGAAAATAGGGGTGGAAGTTTAACTCTTTATATTATTTATCATTTGGTTTATTGTATATCGTACTTATGCGTATACCTAATATGCATAGTATTGTATCGTAAATGCAATCAAATTCCATTGTGTTTTAACAGAATTCGCATTTGATAACATTTTTACAATGCAATACTATAATACATATTACGTATAAGTACGACCCATGATAAATGCTAAATACTATAAGTAATAATAGTAATCAAAGTAACGTATCGTTAAGTAACGAGTACTCGAGTAGCGAGTAGTTACTTTTTCAACATCTCTACAGCTAGGTCACTGGATTTGTCTCCTCTGGATTTTTTTATGGGGACATCTCAAATAAAAAGGAATTTGCCACGCAACCGGAAACAGTAGAAGTATTACGTCAAAGAACTGTACACGAGTGCGCAGTTATAACACCCGAAATATTACAACACGGCCGAGAACGCTTTGAGCAGAACCTGTATTCGTGGATGGAAGCAGGGGGTGCTTAATTCGAACATTTAATCAAGTCATTATTTCAAAGCAGGGTACTAGTTTTTGTGTATTATTCAATATGCAAAATCTTGTTGATTTAAACTAAATTTTTTATTTTAGACCCCATTTCGATTCCTGTACAATTAATGACATATCAAAGCATCATCAATTTATGAAAAGCCAAACTACCCGTTATTTATAGCCTATGTGTTATTCTGATGTATATACAATTAATACCTGGTTTATCAAAAACAAATTAACATTAAACTATGATAAAACCAAATTTATATCCTTCTCTATTTATAAAAATAATGAACCAGATTGGGACATAATAACGAATAATAATGTAATACCGGAATGTGATTTTATAAAATATTTAGGGGTTACAATCGACAAACATCTTAAATGGAATATTCATATTAATAATGTAACTAAAAAATGGCGAGGATTGTTGCCGAAATTTAATTATTTGAAAAGTTTTTGGACGTCAAACAGCTTAGAATCCTGTACTCATCCCTTTGTACAATCTCTCATTTGACATATGGAATTCTAGGGTGGGTTGGTGCAGCTGAATGTCATTTAAAGAGCTTGTATTCTGTTCAAAAATGGTTCATAAAAATTATTTACAATAAAAAGAAAACTTTCTCTTCAAACGTTCTCTTTAAGCAGGTGCATCTACTGGATATACGTCAGCTATACTGCCTAGATGTTTTAAAATTCATTTATCAGGGGAAAATATCTATTGAACATGTTGACCATGAATATGAAACTAGACATAATGCGTTTTATCCTAGTTTATGCTCTAAAACTGTTGGACAAAGATCTTCAAAGTTTTTTGCACCTCGATTATATAACATCTTACCAACCTTCCTAGAGGAAGTTAAAAGTTACTCTGGGTTTAAAAAAGGGGTATGCAAATGGATGGTTGATCGAGGTAGAGATATATTTAATGACCTAGTTAACTTAAAATATACAAAATAAATTTTCATAAGTGCCCCCAGTGAACATTATATATTGTCTAATTAAATTGTATTCCTTTCCGCAGGAAGACGCCATTCGCTCCGTCCTTTCCCGCGTCAGACTGTTCATCAAGACGGTTCCGAACAGAGTCAGTCTGCAACTCTGCGCCGCCTGGTTTATTCTTTGCACTATTTGGAGCAATTGATCTCAGCTATAAGGAATGCTACTCCCTATAACCGGTGTGGCCGAAGCCGTCGTCATTGGCCGAGTATTACTCGTTTCCAGGGTGCACCACGAGGAGGTGACGACATGCACCCCCATTATTATTATTATTATTATTATTATTTATTATATGCTATATTATTGTAATGTTTAATTAAAATCCATTCAGTAGTTTTTGCGTGAAAGAGTAACAAAGATCTTTACATCCATCTATGCATCCATACACAGGATTGCGAGACAATTAGAATATACAGAAATTATTAAAATTATTATTTAATTGCCAAACAAGAGACATTGACTGTGGAGATCGTGACAGTCAATGTTAATTTTACATAAAAATGATCTCAGTAGTATTTTCAATACTAAAAACATTCTGAAAAATTTCCAGCTAAACTGTGAGCACTTCGTGTTTACAAAGAGTTATGGACCAAAACGACATTCTTGTCGTTATTGTGACATTTTAAACTGAAGCTTTTTAATCCTCATTTAAAACGATAGTCCAGAATGAACTTTCGCAAAAGTCAAATGCTTTTCCATAATTAAAACTTTTAATAAGGACTAAAATTTTAACCATATTTTCTATGCTTTTAGAACACATACCGTGTATAAATAAAATAACCTATGTAGTAAGCAGAAATAAGGTTAATTTCTCTGGGGCAATGGCCAAATGCAAAGAAATGGGTATGGAACTAGCTTCAATCATGTCAGCAACAGAACAAAGGGTTATAACCGACCACATAAAACAGGAAGGAGTAAATGTAGTAGGTACTTACCCAATGTATAATTTAGTTAAATATATGAAGTAAGATGAATATATTAACTTAGTATAAAATATATACATATAACACTAGTAAAATATAGTGCTTATTCAATCTAAAATACTAGTTTGTTTTCTAAAATTAATACATGGTTTTTACAGCCGAAGCTTCTTCCCTTCTTCAACCAGTTATTCACATTTTGTCGGTCTTCCCTCTTTGGCCGTATATTCATCTATTTCATCTTACCCTGATCTTTGGATCTACGTGTCAATCCTCGTTGATTATTAGTTGTATACTGTTTATTTCGACATACATTTTTCTTCGTTAGTATTGTGTCCAATTTTATCAGGCCACAACATCTTTAATAGTTTTTCAATTCAGTAGCCAGTATTTTTAAGTTTTTTTTTGTTTGTGACACATACCGTGTGGAGCATCGGAACAGAACAAATCCCATGTAAATTTTGAAAAGGTCAAATATCCCTCCAAATGATGTTATGCAAAGTTTGTTAGACATTTATGAAGAGGTGATAAAGTTATTCTTTCATCAAGAATTTTGTTTTATTTGAAATAGGCATTTAAATTTTATTTGAAAAAAATTATCTTCAAATTACTAAAATTTTAAAATACGGCCCAGAGAAAGCTTCAATAATTAAAATACTACCAAAAGTATGATTTTTTCATTGTCAAATTCGTTGTCTCATTTTGTTTACAAGAATTTGTGTGGTTTAGAGAAAGGATGGTTATTTTTTTCTGAATTGGGATGATCATCTACAAAGGATTTAGTTGAACTGAGTACTCGCGCATAGTACTCGCGCTGTATGACTTGTTTCTGTTCATTACTCGATCACTCTCGTGGCCTCGTCCATATTAGCATACAGGGTGGCGTCATACGCCGCGGAAGCTCCAATGAGAACGGTACTTTATATCGAAATGAAATTTTGGCGGTATATGTAGGTTAACTAAAAGCATTTTATAAAAATATATAGAATTATACAGGGTGTCCCCAAAAAAAGTTACACATCAAAGTTGTGTTTTTTTAATGGAACACCCTATATATTAATTGATTTTCGGATTCTAGGAAAAAAATAAAGGTGAGTTTTATTAAAGAAGCATATACCTAAAATCTAAGGATTTTGACATATTTCACATTGTGTGAAAATGAATTTTTCCGGTGTTCAATGGGGAATTTATATATCTTCAAAATATTATTCAGGTTGCATACTCCTCAGACAAATATTTTTCGGGATATTTTAATATTTATGATTTTGCGTCAGTAAATCTTTATTATTTGAAAAAATCTAGGTGGCTGTGTGATATACCTTTTGTTAGTTTAACAAAAATTAAATATTGTAGAGTAAAATACTCAAGGGTAATAAAAAGATACACGTTTAAAACATATTTTAATTATTACAGAATTAAAACTATAGATATAAACCTATAGTTATGCGACAAAAATTAGCTAGATGAAATCAAATGCTCAAAAGCGTCCTTTCTTGTTAAGTGCATAAAATGATTGTCTTTTCAAAAGGATCTTTTCATTTTAAAATGCATATGTGGAGTTCTACCTCGAAAAGCACCTACAATAATTTCTCTCATGTTGTCGACACTATGGTTGGTCGAGTTTTGTAAACACTGTCTTTAACATATCCCCATAAAAAAACAGACTAGATAAAATCAGGAGCTTTTAAGTATTCTATTAATTGGTGAATGCACACTGCATTCACCAACTAATAGAATCATATCAATTCTCTCTGATGTAGGATAGCTTTGCATTTCGGCAAATTTCCGAGATTTTTTTTTGCTTTAACTGACAGAAAATGATAACTAGTTGTTAAAATTGGACTAATTAAATAATTATGTTAACGTCAGACATCACAGCCACCCAGATTTTATCAAATAATAAAGATCTACTCAGATCAAATAATGTAAATGAAAATATCTAGGAAAATCTTTGTTTGAGGGGTAGGCAACCTTAATAGTATTTTGAAGAGGCACGAATTCTCCATTGAATATCGGAATAATATACTGGGTGTTCCGTTTAAAATAAGAGAGTAACATGCTTTTAAAAGTGACCAATGTTCAATATTAATTTTGTCTTACCCTGTATAACTTTTTGGCTCAAGTTTTAATTTGATTTAAAGTACAATAGTTAATTTAACTACATATTAGGCTATACCGGGTAAATTCCAATTTAGGTAGCTTTTATTTTAATTTACAAATTGTTCTTTATTTCTAGAAAATGTTAAATAGGTCATAAACCTTACATTTTAGTCATATACTTTTCTTATAAAACTCACCTTTATTTTTTTCCCAGAATCCGAAAATCAATTAATATATAGGGTTCCATTACAAAAATCACAACCTTGATATGTAATTTTTTTGGGGACACCCTGTAGAACTCTCTATATTTTTAAAGAATGCTCTGAATTAACCTACATATGCTCACACAATTTCATTTCAATACAAACTGTCGTTCTCCTTGGAGCCTCCGCGGCGTATGAGAAGCGCCACCCTGTACATGATAATTTAATATACAATAATTTAAGAAATAATCGAAATATTTGCAACTAAAGACACACTATTAAACAACCATTCTAAGGAATAACATGTTCACATAATCAAACAATACCCCAAATGATGAATGAAATTCACGTCTCACAATACAAAGCTGTCGTCACACAATACAAAACAGTCTCACAATACAAAACATACAATAACGTCTCACAATACAAAACATTTCGCATTTCACAGAGATAATATTTTCAGTTGGCCTAAGTTTCTGTATTTAATATGCCTATAAAGACTGTTTTCCAGTATGTTTCAGACGAGGAAGTCGTTCGTCAAAAGTGCAGGAAACCTGGCAGGCCAACAAATGGTACCATTTGGCCTAATTATGTTTTCTCTAAACGCATCTCGCCAATATTCCCTAAATTAGGGAATATTATAAGGGAATTGTTTTGCAGGATAACCATTCATTTGATACTAGATTTCATGATCTGAAGGGACGAGGTCTTCTAATTTGTTAAAACCCTCTACTGAGGAAAAAGGAGACTACAACTCACAGCCTTGTATTATTACGGTGGTATATTGTATTATTACGCTAGGACATTGCCATTCTGTTACTGTAAATACTGTAAATAAATCTAATATAAGTTTAAAATCACAAATTAAAGAGTTAAGGATGGCAGTGAAACTATTATAGAGGTATCATTACCAAATATAAAGGATTTGTTTACTATTTGGCACATTAAATTACAGTAAAAAAATCTTTTTATCCTTAATGACCTACTGGTTTCTGATTTGGTATAACTGGTGGAGTAACTTTTTTGTCTTTTGAGCTTGAGGATGGGATTTGATTCTCGAAACATGATGCCCCCACCTTATTTAAATAGTAAAATTTTAAAATAATATTTTTATAGAAGACTGAGTTTGAGTCTCCTTTTCTTTCAATAGAGGATTTTAACGAATTATTATGTACTCACGCTGGGTCGCTGAACGTTTAGTGACTTCTTCTAAAGCCAGCCCTATTTCTTCTTGTAAGAGCTATAATGTCTTAAGTGTCCAAAGAATAATGCTGTGGTCTTTTCCTACTGTCTCCACAATAGGCGGAAATCAGTATTTTTCTTTTCTTCGACGTGAAGAAGAATATTCAAATCATTATTGTTTTCTTCCTAATCATTATTTTTATCTTCAAACTTCCATGTGCTTAATACTGTGTTACTTGGTGGAGATGTGGTTAACCCTCCGGAGGTCGCGCGCTGATTCACAGTCCGCAGGTACCTATTTTTCCCGATCACGATAATTCGAAAATGTGAAAATATCAGATGCTGCGCCGCTTAGTATCTTCCTGTCTCTGGATATCTTATGAGAAGTGTACGTTTGCTCATCGTTTAGTTTAGTTAGTATCTTTTTATACTCATATGCAGAGTGCCAGTCCGCGTACGACCGTTTGTGAGACTATTTTTACATCAATAATTTTATAATGTCGAACAGGGTAAGTTAATTTACAGATTTGTTTTAATTGAAAATGAGCAAATTGTAATAAAAAAAGTGAATAATCGACTTTTTTTTATTAAGTATTATTTTTTAGATGTACTTGCTCTTTTTAGATGCAAGACTGTTTGAACGAAGATAACGAGTTAACCACTGAACATGGCAACTCGGGTTTTTTATAGTCTTCAAGTCGCATTTTTCCTGAGAATGCAAATAAAAAATATTTAAAAAATTAGCAGAAACGTTCAAGATTTACCAAATTAAGCGAAAGCAATAATAAAACAAAATAAACATGAAAGTTTCAAATATAGGTATATTTTTTCTTTTCACATTGTATAGTATAAGCTTATTCATTAGGTTAAGATAAACCGCAATTATTTATGTGAAATAATTGTTTACTGTGGCAACTAACGGCCATGTGGCCATAGAGTTGCTTGCCACCATGTGACAATATTATTAGATTAAGCGCTGCAATGTAACTATATTGGTAATTAATAAAGATTGTTTAAAATTGAAAATTGACTGAACATGGCGATGAAAAGGAAGAACGAGAAGTGGATATTATAGAAAGGCAAGGGCCCAAAGTAAATTCTGATACTGAAAAATAAATTTCAGATTCGGAAGCACTGAAAACACTATTACCAGAGGCCGATCCTCTGGTAATACTGTTTAATAATTAATACTACCGAATTGTGATAGGCGGGAAAACAGACCAACTCATTACTCTTTGTACAGTATCACAATTTCGTATGTTTTGAGCAGACATAGATATTCTGTAATCACTGTTATACGGATTGATTTTTGTATTATTATTAATTAGTTTTGTTTTTGAATAATATTTATTAATTTGTTTTTTTGCGTGTTTTTTGTTATATATTTTATGTTTATGTTTGCTATTTGTAATGAAGCAAGTCAATAAATAATTGTTTTTTTGATTATCATATTATTTTATGTCTTTCCACCACTAGGAACGCTTAAGACCTCTTGAATTTAGCATGCGGACTCCGAGTCCGTGAGCGACCTTTCGTGTAACAGACAAAGCGGGACCTCGGAAAGGTTAATATTTGAGTCGTCAGCGGGGATACTATTTCCTGTAAAATTCCATTTAACGATCCTAACTTTTTCGGATAGGATGTTGTAAAAATCATAATTATTTTATACAAAATTACTCTATTTGGTACCTCCAAATTCTTGTAAAGAAAATGTGATATGAAATTTGACAATGAAAAAATCACCTTTTTGTTGGTATTTTAATTGTAGCTTTCTTGGGGCCGTATTATAAAATTTTAGTAATTTGAAAGTATGTTTTTACAAATAACATTTAAATGATTGTTCCAAATGAATATCTGAATATGAATTAAATCTCTTTCACACACCAGCAAAATCGGTGCCGGTAACGGTGCCGGTGCTGAAATCGATTGCAATATAAATAAATTAGCTCCTTCACATATACTCCGAACCGGTAATATAGTCATGGACTAGCAAATACAATAGAATTAAATTCGACTGTCGCAACGTGTGCAAACCGGCACCGGCACCGACACCGATTTTGCCGGTGTGGGTGAAAGCGACCTTAGCGTTTTATTTTGATATTTAAAATAAGTTTTTCTTTTAAGCTGGCGATCCATACAAGGGATTTTGGCTGAGCGGTACCAGATCGAGCAGAGGTGGAAATAATTTTGTATGGTTAGGTACAGGAAAGCAAATGACGTATAAAAATTTTGCTCCAGGTCAGCCAGATAATGCTGGAAATAACGAAGACTGTGTTGAACTCTGGTACGGTTCCAATTTAAAATTTTATTGGAATGATATTGGATGCTATCACAATTTGAGATACATCTGTCAGAAAACACAAAAACAATGTTTGGATTTAAAATGTCAGTGAAATTTGCCGTGTACAATTACAAAATGTTTTTTTAATAAATATATGTAGTAAAAATACACTCACCGGCACGAAAAACGGGCACCTTAACATTTTGATGTATTTTAAAGTTTAATGTTCTGATGAGCGGATTACAAACCCCATGATTTTGATGATTGTCTAAGCAATTTGTAGATAAATTATTTGACTTTTTAATATCTCTTTCTAAATTAAAAATGAAAGTTTCCATCTGTCAGTAATAGTCTAAGAGCTGGCTACATAAAAGAACTTTATCATTGTTACATGGGTAATTTTGTGTGTGAAGTATCCTTTTATGTAGCCGTTATGAAATAGTCATATCTGCCAGCGCGATCCCGGGGCTTAAAGCAGCGGCGGCCAATCGAAAGGGTGAAATTTTGACACTAAAAATATTATAAGATACACGAGTTACAATTGCGAAAATAGCTTTTATTTATTATTAACAACCATGGAAAATTGTTGGAAGACATTTTTCTAGTCGCTAAAATGCCGACAGACAACGCGAAAGAGGCATGAAATTTTAAAAATTATTAAAAAATGAAATTTGAAGAATGAAAAAAATTATGGCATATTTGCAAGCCGATTGGTGAAATGTCATATTTATTTATTTTAAAAGCCGTATAAAAAAGGGCAAACAAAAAGATAGTGGCTAAATCAGCTGCAGACAGTTACCAAAAGCGCGATATTACTCTAGCGCTGTCAGGGAACGCTCGGCGCCTCATCCATTTAAGTACAGATAAATGATATATACACGATTATATTATAAATATAGTTTTTTATTATTTCAATAACGATTTTTTTGTCTGCCCTTTTGCATACGGCTTTTTAAATTAATTAACAATAAACATGACATTCCACCATTCCACCAATCGACATGCATGTATATGCGATGATTTTCTTTTGTCAAAATGCTATGCCTCTTTCGCGTTGTCTGCCGACATTTTAGCCACGAGAAAAATGTCTGTCAACAATTTTACACGTTTCTTAATAATAAATAAAAGCAATTTGGCAATTATAACTCGTGTACCTTATAATATTTTTAGTATCAAAATTTCACCCTTTCGATTGGCCGCCCCCCGTTTTAAGCCCCGGGATCGCGCTGGCAGACGTGACTATTTCATAATGGCTACACAAAAGGATACTTCACACAAAAAATTAGCCATGTAAAGATGATAAGGTTTTTTTATGTAGCCAGCGCTCCGTCTATTTTACGAGGGAAAACAAAATGTTGATAATTTGGTGAAAGTTTGAAACACTCTGTGGAATATGTTGGCAAAGCAAGGAAAAAATAATTTTCTCATCTAGGTAACTTTTTTCTAGATAGTTTGTTTTATGATTCTGCCCAATAGCTTTATTTTTATTGGAGATATTCCCTTTTGAATAAGACAGATTTTAACGCAATTTTTAGCCTTCATTTTGGGTCCTCATCAACACACTTATAAAATAGTGTTTATTGTTTTTGTAATGTCACTGTGATTGAAATATCATATTATTATCGTTTATTGACGGTTGCTTTGATAAACATGGTTTTAAGTTCTGAAGTATCGGCTATTGTTGCTTTAATTATGATCATGGTAGAGATTAAGTTTTAGACTTAAAACCATATCTGCTAGAGCAACTGCCCAGCAGACAATAATAATATGATTTTTTAAGACAGTGACATTACATAAATCATAACCACTATTTTATAGGTATGTTGACTAGGACCAAAGGCAAAGGCATGGGTTTAATGTAAAAAATACGAAAAAATGTTAGCGTCTTCTTCAAAAGCAAATATCTCCAAAAAATAAAGCTATTGAGATGAATCAAAAACAAACTACTGAGAAAAGAACACCTAGATGATAAAATTATTTTTTTAAATTCCTTGCCTTGTTCATGTACTCTACAGGCTGTTTGAAACTTTCACCAAAATATCACTACATATTTTGTTTTCTCTCGTATAATTGAAAGATGGTAACTTTCATTTTTAATTAAGAAAGAGACACTATAAAGTCAAAGTTTAGCTAGAAATTGCTTAAAAAATAATCCAAATCGGTTAACTAGAACACAATATATCAAACTTTAAAGAAAATTAAAATTTTGAGGTGCTCGTTTTTAGCGTCCAAAGATAAATCGTGTAAATGATTTATTATTCGTTAAGAAATTCACTTTTAGACTTACAGTAAGGACAATCTTCTGATTGTCACGGGGTTTCTAACAGGACACTTGGACACTGTCTCCTAAACGAACATCTCAGTAGAATGAAGCTGAGAAACAACGACAAATGCAGATTCTGTGGGAAAAATGGGGAAACACCAGTACACCTTCTCACTGAGTGCGCCGAGACGACAACAGTTCGTGTCATAGACTTTGGTACGGCTAAAGTCGGAGATAGAGAGCTGGTCTCTGTGGAGCCGTCCCAGATACTGGCTTTTGTAAAAGCCCTGAGACTCTATGATGCGTTACCTTCTTCTTCATGTACCATCTCCAATTCAGAGATTGGCTATCATCGAAACTATTTTAAATTTGGAAGTTGCGACCCTTAATGAGTCATATTATATACTGCGAGAGAAGACTAGAGCTTCGCTCGCAGTATGCGTTGAGTGTCTAAACCTCTACACAATACAAGAGGACCAGAAATACATAGCACTTGAGCATCCGTGTTTTCAGCTCCAATTATAACAATTCTAAACAATAATCTACGGAGTCAACACTTGTACTCAGGTAGTCATACCTCTCGACTCTTTCCAGCCTTTCGCCTTCCACATACAATTGTTCATTGGGCGCTTCAGTTCTGATGACAATCATATATTTCGTCTTCTTAACGTTAAGTGTGAGACCATATTCACAACTAACTGTAATGAGTTAAAATGAGTTATAACTCGTTATAACTCAAGAAAGGGGAACAGATAATAGATCTGTAAGGTCGCGGGGATTAACCCCCCTCCTAAACAATCTACACCCTACATCTCTCTTGCGGCTGACGAATAAAAATGACAAATTAAATCCATGCTACATTATTAATGTAACACAGGTTTTTTGATGCAAAGTAATCCAAAAATATTTAAACCCTTCAATTATTATACAGCAATATTCTCGGAGACCCGGAGTAGTTAAATGCTTATGTTATCCGATCCTGCTATCTTCTGAGCATTAAAAATCAAATTCAATATCTTCCAAAATATACATTTGGTTTTTAGTTTATCCATAGAAATATCTAAAAATATATAGTGAACATTTGCCTTGGTCAACATCATTGCTTATTAAACATCGCTGCAAGAGAAACAACTGAATTTAAAACAAAAGAGTATACCTAACTTTTTGTTGCCTACCACCTACCAAATATTGAGGTTGGCATGCGATGGAAAGAAAACTTGAACGGATGTGTCATAAATAACAAATTAGAGATAAATAATTAAATGCATATTTTAAAAAATTACGGACACGTTCAAAAATATTTCATTTTATAACGAATTCTGTAATGTTGATCTTATGTTATTTTCATCCATCTAAAATAAAACTTCAATAAATTTTACATTATTTATTATAATTTTATACATATGAATTTTAGTTAAATTTAGTTGTAATTATAGGCAGAATCAGATTTTCCTCAACTATAACAGAAATCCATCTTGAGCAATTCAGTACGAAAAATCTATACAGCATTATACGAAATAAAATATGTTTATTTACAATGAGAGCAATTCGAAAACTTAGATCTATAAAAATAAAATATTCTTAAATATTTACAACAAAAAATTACTTACAAAGATATATTTTTTTTCTTATTTTACTATTCTTTGGCGTTCATCAGCAGGTCAAAATCAATGCATTGATTTGGCACATAATATTTAACCTAATATTAATTAATATAAGTTCAATAAAATTTTAAAGGAATGATTCTTGTGAATTTATACAATTCGATAACTTCAATCCAGAAATATTCAATACCGAAATAATATGATACAAAAAATATATATACTACTGAATGGTAAAATCCAGATTAAGCAAAAATGGATGATCTTAAAAAGATCTTAAAATTAAGTACAGGGTGAGTCAAATTCGACGCTTTTAAAGGGAAACACCTTTTTTATAGGAGATAGATGAAAACTAATATTGGTGTCTGGAGTTCAATTTTTATCAAAAACATGATGGTGAAAACCGCACATCGATATCTGTTACCGTTTATGAGTTACGGGGTGTATTTCAAAAATGTGCCTTTTTAACAAATCGCTGTAACTTTTTTGCTAAGGAAAATTTTGTATTTTTGTGAAAGTATTTCCGAAGCACCTTTTTACGTAGAATTTAATGGTTCAAGTATATTTTTTTTAAATTAATAATTTAAGAGTTATCAACAGAAAATTTGATTTTTTATTTGGGACACCCTGTATATTTTTAATTAAGTGAAAAAACTTAAAATTCCTTTCCAAATATATAGCAAACTTAATATTTTATTATATTCAAAATACAGAATTTTTAAAGTTCGACACTTTTAACTAGTAGACTTTGAGGCCCTTATTGATGATCTGCTCCTAATGGAACTCGAAAACATATTTTTGCAGCCAATTTCGAGAATAATAAAATTGAATAGCTAACCAAGATCCCAGCTGTTGGCCATCGAGGCCGCCGGACTTAGTGCCTGTTATCCTTAGTGGCTTTTTATCTTTGCGGAAGAATAAAGCTGGATTTATAAACTCGGGAGTTGAGGTTCAGTTGCCGTTCAAAATGTTCAACGCTATGAAATGAACGCGCGCATTTATAAAGTCAGTTGGTCGAAAAGTTGGCAGTTCGTTTTACGTTCAGCGGAGTTCAAAGATGGTCACGCACGGCAGTTGCGGCAGTTGGCGACCGCTGGCGACGTTCGGCGACAGCCAATGAATAAGCGCCTGCCTGATCTAATGGTACACCGATGCATTGGAAAATGACCCTTATTGTTGTTTCATTATTTCTGTTAATGTGATGTTTATATTTTGCGTAATCGTGGATTACTGTGTTTGAACTTTGACAAATACCAGAAGTATTTTTAAATCGAAAGAAAAACGTTCGAAATTTTCACAATTCCAAACCTAACCTACAACCGAAACTGCTACGAACATCCAACTGCAACTGAACCTCAACTGAACGCCAACTTCCGAGTTTATAAATCCAGCTTGAAGGTTCTTATTTTTAAATTGCCCATATAATCTAGACCAGAATTAGAAGTACTTAGCAGTTATGCGAGGGTATCTTTTACCCCGTCTGAGTTAATAAATTTCGCGAGAAATGTCTAAAAACTGTCCATAACAAAAGACGATCGACATGTCGAACACTTGTAGCAAAATCTCATGTCTTGATTTGCTATTAATTTTTATTGTTATTAGATATAGTTTAAATGTGTTGCTGTTGTTAAATATTGTTTTAAAATTCTGCATCTCTCATTGCAAATATTATTTTCGTTTTAATTGCTGCTCACAGCTAGAATTTTTTTGGGTCGGTAATTTTAAATTCTTTTCAATCAATTAAAAATATACAGGGTGTCCAGTATAAAGAACCAAATTTTCTGTTGATAATTCTTAAATTATTAAGTTTAAAAAAATATACTTAAACCATTATATTCTACGTAAACAGGTGATTTGGAAATGTTTTCACAAAAATACAAATTTTTCCATTGCGAAAAAGTTACAGCGATTTGTTGAAAATACACATTTTTGAACAACACCCCGTTTTCACCATCATGTTATTGATAAAAAATGAGCTCCAGACTCCACTATTACTATACTAGTTTATCCTATAAAAAAAATCGTCTATCTCCTATAAAAAAAGGGTGTTCCCATTTAAAAGCGTCGAATTTGACCCACCCTGTACATAAATGTCCATGATCGGTGATTTACAAATAGGTACCTAATATAGGTATAATTAGGTACCTAATTCTAAACCTAATCTAGCTAGAGACATGTTTTTTCTTAGCCTGGTAATTTCCAAGTAGACGTCATGGGCTGCAAAGAAAAAAATAGTATAAGAAAATCAGTATTTAGACTTCTAACACATAAAAGATCGATCATCTATTTATACAGGGTTCGGCAATAGTGCGTCGGGCATCTATAACTCCTAGAATAAAAACTTGAGGATTTTGTTTAAGCGCAAACCTAAAGTATGTACAGGGTGGTCGGAATTGTTCTGTTTTAACAGAGAAAACCTATTTTCTGACTAGATAGAGCAAAACCGACATAGATGTCATGGGCTCGATTTCTGAGACACGTTTAATGGCATAAACTGCCTGTTGATATTTTCACTGCCAACTGAGATATGGGGTCTTGGTTGAATTTTTTACCATTTTGAAAATTGCCCATAACTTTTTTATTTCGCGGAATAATGAAATTCTGTAAAGATGTTTTTAAGGCACTTTTTTAAGCACAATCCAGTGGCGTAGTGAGTTTTTTTCTATGCTTGCTCTTTTTGTCAGAAATAATAAAAAATATAATTTTTTAAATGGAAATCACAGTTGGCTATGAACTTAAAAAAATGCTGGCGTTTAACCATTTCGAACGATATAAAGTTATGGGTACCTATTTCTAAGAATGAGAAATATTAGGTTTTTCATCTTTTTATCGAAGTGTGCCTTGATTTTGTGTTGTTCTAGTTGTCTAATTATTTTTTATCGCAATTTAATATTCTATATTATTATTTATCTGAAATTAAAGACTTTTGAAAAAGTAAATTAACATTCTATATTAGTTTTAGTAATTTTACAATTGAAATCCATACAATAAACAAAGAACAACGCTAAAAAAAGTATTTTTTGAGTGACGAATATAGTTTTCTAAAAAAACTCATCTAAGATGTTGAAACTGAGCACCTCCTCGTTGAATACATAATAAACATCTTTTGCGCACAGAGTTACAGCGATTTATTAGGTTTAATAAGTCCAAAATCTTGCCTAGTAGCCTTCTGCAATTCTTCTCTCGTCCAATGGTTCTTCTCTTATATATAAGGACTTTTAATTCCCCTCATAAAAAAGTCGAAAGAAGTTAAATCACAGGACTTAGCAGACCAAGATATGGGGCCCCTTGTTCCAATCCGATTCTCTCTAAATTCTCCATTTAATGGCGTTTTAATTGTAATTGGCAAAACTAATATAGAATGTTGATTTATCTTTTCAAAAGTCTTTAATTTCGCAGATAAATAGTAATATAGAATATTAAATTGCGATAAAAAATAATTAGGCAACTAGATCAACAGGAAATCAAGGCCCGCTTCGATACAAAGATAAAAAACTCTAATATTTCTCTCATTCTTAGAAATAAATACCCATAACTGTATATCGTTGGAAAGGGTTAAACATCAGCATTTTTTTAAGTTCATAGCCAACTATGATTTCCATTTAAATAATTATATTTTTTATTATTTATGACAAAAAGAGCAAGCATAGAAAAAACTGACTACGCCACTGGATTGTGTTTAAAAAAATTCCTTAAGAACGTTTTTGCAGAATTTTATTATTCCGCGAAATAAAAAAGTTATGGGCAATTTTCAAAATGGTAAAAAATTAAAAAAGACCCCGTATCTGAGTTGGCAGTGAAAATAACAACATGCGGTTTATGCCATTAAACGTGTCTCAGAAATCGAGCCCATGACATCTACGTCGGTTTTGCTCTATCTAGTCAGGAAATAGATTTTCTCTGTTAAAACAGACCAATTTCGCCCACCCTGTACAAGGATGTATTTCAGGAAAATATTTTAAGTTCTATAGAGTGGCTTAAAAAAGTGTGAGTGGATCGGGATGATTTTTTTAAAATGGAACACCCTTTGTATTATTGCATTTATTTGGTTTTGGTTAGGTTGTGTTATGTGTACTTCACATAATCCTAAGGTATGAGTTAGTATTTCGATAGTTTCAGAGATATTAATAAATAAATAAAAAATATATATTTTTCAGATTTCCCAAAAAAAATATTAAAAATACAAGAATCTGTCCAGCAATCACTTTTTTTGTATATTATGTGACTGGATCGTTCTATGTCCTATAAGATAAAAAACATTTTTATTATTACCATTTTGAGAAAAATGCATTCTTCGCAAAAGCTTTTGCTTGTTCTAAAATAATTAGTTCAGTACTTTTCCAAATGTCCATACCGTTTTAGAGAAAAATAACAGAATATGAAAATATAGCTAAATTTTTTCCAGTTGCAAAAATCAAATCGCATTTCTATGGTAATATAATTTCCTTTTTTGTTTAACAGCAAAGATTATGACTTTATTATTTTTTTAATTTCTCTCTAAAACAGCACAGAAATGTTTAAAAGTGCAAACATGATTAACCATTTTAGAACAAGCAAACACTTTTATAAATAATGCACTTTTCTCAAAAAGTTAATAATTAATATAAAAGTTTTTCCCTTTGTAACGACAATCTGGGGATTATACTGTAGACAAAGAAAGGAATGATTATTGAACATACAGACCTGGTCATTCAATTACTGTGTATAGGATTTTAATGGATACGACAGAGAATAATACAAATGACCGGTTGAAAGACAGAGAAACAAAATAAAAGGATACAGTGTTGCCGGTTCGTGAGCGTGTAGGCAGGATTAAGAATGAGAATGGTGGGAGCACAAATCGACTCCGATGCCGATGACAATTCGAGACTGCTCTCAGTGTTGCCAGATAAACTTCCTCTAACAACCTCTGCAGAACTAATAGCATATTGTCAAATAATATCAATAGAATAGATTCCGTTTTCTGATTAGAATTTTTGTTTTAAATCTCAATAAAGAAAAATTACATATTTAAAAAAATGAACTACTCAAAACAATTATCGCATATTTTCTAAAAAAATATTAATTTGAAAAACAAGACATTTTGAATTCCTTGACTTACGATTTTAAATAGTACGGATACTGTGAAGGGAAATTCGATAAAATAAGCCTACGCGCAGACCTGTAATTTTTAGTCGGCGTTGCAAAAGTGTAAACAATACATACTTATGAAGTCGATCGGCCGACTATTTGATTGCATGTGAGCTCGGCTCCATAAGAATATATTGGTTACAAATATGCAACTAAATAGTCGGCCGATTAAAATTGCCTGTCAGCGCATAGCCTAAGGCTACGCAATGTAATCAAGTATTGGGCCGATCGGCTCCATAAGAATGTATTGTTTTCACTTTTGCAACCAAGTCCAAAGTCGGCCGACTAAAAATTACATGTCAGTGCATACCCTATAACTATCCTAAAAAAACTCACAAGAGAAAGGCAGAAAAATGCATGCTTCAGTTAAAAATATGTAATAATTACAAATATGCGATAATTGTTTTGAGTAGTGTATAATTATTAAAAGATATTTTCTGATGATACTATTAAAATGCCAAGTTTGGGAACAAAATTAAATGCACACACTAAATTTTGTCTAAAAAATATGTTTTCCCAAAATTTACTTCTATGATTTAAATTTTAATTCTTACTAGATTTAGGAGAATTTTCTAGACCTGGCAACTATGACTAATACTGACCGTCTCCATGTTAAGAGATTCCTTACTTCTTTCCCACCACTTAATTTGTCATAGCTGATTGGTCTCATCCGCCACTCTCAAATTTGGAAGCCATGAATTTGTGTCGCCACGTGTGACCCATCAAACTCTTGAGTTTAAGCGTACTAATATTTTTTTCCATTTAGATTTAGTATTACAGCCAATTATAGTTTAAAATTTTTACTTATGAATTCTGTAAAATTTAATTTATTAGAATTTTTATAAGAATCGTTTTATGATAGCTGACAAAGTTTAAGAGGGAACGGCATGAAAAAAACAGACGAAAACTTCCAACCCTGATGCAACATTTTTTTGAAACGTCTACTTATGCGGTTTGAAATTTTGATGCAAAATCCGGCAATACCGCTCAGAAGAAATGTAAACTACCCATACCCACCCAACTTTTTTTTCTTTTTAATACATTTGATCTGTCTACAAGCTGTCTACATCACTGTCTTAGACGTTAAAATCCAACCCGCAGAGTTTGAATGTCCCGATCGGTACATATATGTAACTGATAATAGAAACAGTACCATTGTAACCCAAGATTCTTCATATGGATAATACTTGTATTATTTGTTATAGAAATGATAGGCAATTAAATACTTCTCAGAAACCTCCATTTTTTAATAAAATTTGCCAATATTTTATATTTTAAAAAGTTTGGCATGTGGAACACCCTATATGGTCAAAGATTACGATATTTTACGGCAAAGTAAGGACAGACCCACTACAGTAAGTACCTAATATAGTTTTGATTTCAGGACATTTCTTGTATTATTTATATTTTTTTTAAATGCTGAAAAAATATTTGTTTCACTTATTTATTAATATCTTTGAAATTATCAAACCATATTTAATAATATCTTAGGATTATGTAAAGTGATCAATAAGGAAGCCAAAAATGCAATAATATACAGGGTGTTTCATTTAAAAAAAAATCATCCCGATCCGCTCACACTTTTTTGAGCCCCCTTAAAAAATTAAAATATTTTCCTAAAATACATCCTAATACATCCTTTAGGCTTGCACTAAGAACAGAATTCCTAACTTTCTTATTATAGGAGCTACCGATGCCCGACGCACTATCGCCAGACCCTGTAGTCCCTGTAGAGAACATTGCAGTGGTCTAAAACACAAAATAACGACATTGAAAGTTCAACGGATATTTCCGTACATTGGGTGTTTTTCAAAAACGACACATTCCTATAATTTTTTTATTATTCCAGATAAAAAAATGAAATTTGGTATGTTAGAATATGACATTTATATTGACGTATTAAATTAGTTTCGGTCACTTTCTGTTCCACCGGAAATGCCTACTGTTTTTAATTTTTAAATTGTACCTTCAATATAAGTCTCAATCTGGAGTGTAATGGCTGTGTTCATAACGACAATTTGAATCAAAATACCGAGCATATGATACCAAATTATTCGTAAAGAAATACTTTTTACAAAATATGCTAATGAGCCGTCCTTGTTTCAAAAAAGTGAGTTATGATTAAAAATACGATTTGGGCTTTTAATCTTTTAACCGGCCAGGTAGAGTCATGAAAATCAGTAGACGATTAAATCTATTTTTCCAAGGCTCCTTGATTAAAGATTTGTGGTTTTAAAACAACCATGACATTGATATTTAAATTACAATTGTTTTCTTCAGCAAAGATGTCAAAAGTTGACATACGATTTGTCATTTTATTCAGAATGTAATTTTCTATCAAATAAAATAAAAAGAATATCAAAGAAAAATAAAAATCAAAAGTAGTAGTAATTTCCGGCGAAACAGGAAGTGATGTATGTAAGTCATATACTGACATACATTGGGTTTTTATCTAAAAAGGTAACAAATTCATAGGGGTGAGTCACTTTTGAAACACACGGGGCATAGATACTTATGTTTCTGAAAAAAATCAAATATATGTTGTTTATATTTTAATATATACTTACAAGAGCTTTTCACTAAGCCACGTTGTATATATTTCAGATAATTTAAGAAATCACAGACGGCAATTATCTGTAAAAGAAAATAAATGTTAATATTCCTACAAAAGTATTACTCATATTTATCTTTAAAACTTATTTTAGCATAATCAGTTCAACTATAACATCGGTATCATATTCTTCTGTTGTAGTTAAAAAAGAGATATCTGCTTTAATAGCATAACAATTTTTAATTTATATAGATAATACGAGCATTCAAATATAACTAGTTTAGAGTTCAATATAAATAATTTAGCAAATCTAAAACAACAATGCATCAAACTATTTAATGACACTTGTATATCTAAAGTGTCGGGAATTTTAAATTTAATTAAAAACGCATGTTTTCTATATTAAATCGGGCATTTTGAACTGAATCCATGAGTATTTTACATGTATACAGTTCTTTGGATCAATATTCCTATGCTTACATGTCGTTTGTAATGCAATGCAATGCAAATGTTAATATTGTTAATAAAAAAAGTTTTCGGGATAACTAGAATATTACCTTCTGGTTTTTTTCTTTCATTTCTAAAATATACAGGGTGTCCCAGAAATAAGTGCAAATATTTTAAGGGGTGGTAGATCTCAATAAAAGAAACATATTTTCTCTTTATCGTTTTTCAAATAAGTCCAAAATTACGGAGTTATTTTACTTTGAAAATTTCAAAAAAAAAAAAGATTTTTTGCTAAAATTTTGAGAACCACTGGATCTTTTCTGGATTTTCTTTCTTGTAAATTTAATCTAATACCTATGTTTTCATATTATCAAGAAATTATGTTTTTTAACTAAAAACAATATCAAAAAAAAATTTCTAAAAATTTCGAATTTTCAATTTTTTTTTTCGCGAAAAGAACCTAATAGGCGTGTTTATGGGGTTGAACTATACTACTATGGTACCAAAAAGCCTGAGCATATTAAATTTTAATCGAATTTAATAAATGTAAAAAAAAAAATAAAAATATTTATTGGTAAATAAACAAAAACTTAAAAGAAACCAAACTTTAATTCGAACGGCTATGGGTAAGGCAGGTTCTTGTTCAGGATGGTTCATGACATAGACTTGCCTGAAAAGAAAAATCTTTGTGAGTATGCCGGTCCTACAAAATTCCTGATATTTATTATTAAGGTAAAATATCACAGTTCAAATGTTACAACGGGTATTAAACGCAGAACACCCTTCACAAATGTCCAAAACATATTACGGCACTAAACGCGAAATGCCCTCTCTAAACAACTGATGAACCCTTGCCACCAGCCTAGTGAACCCTTGCCACTAGCTCTCTAAACAACTGGTGAACCCTTGCCACCAGCCTAGTGAACCCTTGCCACTAGCTCTTTAAACCACTGGTGAACCCTTGCCACCAGCCTAGTGAACCCTTGCCACTAGCTCTTTAAATAATATATCTACCCTGTACTGAGACGTGCAATGACACCAAACGCAAGGGTTTGTTTCAGTTACAGAGAATACTCAACAAATTATTATAGAAAAGATAACTCTTTAAACTCATAAACTCTTAAATAAATCAATTATAAATTAAAACATAACATGTAGAGAATGCATACTCAGTGAATCAACTCACCCTATAATGTAGCTTTAACACTGCCACAACACTGTCACAATTTTATAACTATTTAAATTAATTATTTAGCTCGTATTTAAATTAACGTTTAGCGACACTCCACTTCTTTAAAAGATTCAAAAGCAACTAAATGCCAACCTAAATATTAAACTGAACCTCTCCGATATTGTGTGCGTCTTTCATAAAAAACTATGAGCCTTAAGACCTTTTTTTTAAATGCCGTGACCAGAGCTTGCCAGAGCGTTCTGTTTATATTATCGCCGCACGCCGCGCCGTTACGTAGTCTAAACAATCTGGAGCGATAAGCTTTTCTCCCTAACTCGACAAAATTGGTGTGCTTTTGTTACAGCGTTTGAAATATATCTAGGATAATATGAGGTAAAATATACAGGGTCTTACACTACCAGTTAAAATATTTGCACTTATTTCTGGGACACCCTGTATAAGAATAAATAATTGAAGTACTATTTTACATGTATATAGGTCCTAAGACAGGAGGGTCCGCGAAGGCTGGGGCCCGGCTGCATATTTGTAAACAACGTCTATGATCGTGATGCGGTTCTAGGAGGAACGATGCCGCATAAACAGCATACGATATCGCAAATCCGTCTAGTAAATAGCATTCGTGATTCCAAATTTAATCTGCCTTAACTCCTCTTATAAACAGCAAACTATGTCGCGAAATTTCTTGATTGGTTGCTTGTAATCAGCTTTCAAGAAATTTTTTGGCAAAATTCTTAAGTGCAAAAGGTCTACCAAAGAATATAATACTAAATATTATTTTGCAAGAAAAGAATTTGCCTCCAAACCATGAGTATATAAGTTAGTAAATAAAGAAATTATTAGAACACCTTTCGTTAAAAAGGAAGAAATTGAGGTAAGTTACAGAAATTAACTCAAAATAAATTAACTTAAAAAAAATGAGATTATTAATTGAAACCAAAAAAATGAATGCTAAAATGAAGTTATAGAATGTTTTAATTTTCCAGGACATTTTACCCAATGTTTAGAGAATTACCAGCTTTACTTCAAAAATCACACTCTGTGTAGTTTCTTTGCAGGTTAAATTTGGGTTTTTCTAGTACAAGAAACAGTGTAAAATATGTCTATACCTATGTGGCGGATTCATCTCTCCAAAAAAACACTTTATGGGTATTTCGCCGCTGCAAATACAACAAAAATCTACAAAATAAAATAGTTATTTTTTGTAAACACTTCTGCGTTAAACCTAAACGGACACTGCTTGTCAGAAGTTATGTTTACAGTAATAAACATTTGCCTAACAAAGAAAAAAAATGCTTAACGTTTCGGAAAGTTTATTTCTTTCCATCGCGCGTCGTCGGAAGCAAAAAAATACAAAGAATAAAGAAAAAAACTATTTAAAATATTTAAATTCAACTATTCGAGAACACTTCACTTTTTTTAAAACAAATAGGTCTACAAGAAACCGTTGACGTTCTGTTAATTTTTTTTTCTTTGTTAGGCAACTTTTTATTACTGTAAACATAACTTCTGACTAGCAGTGTCCGTTTAGGTTAAACGCAGAAATGTTTACAAAAAATAACTATTTTATTTTGTAGATTTTTCTTGCAGTGCAGTGGCGAGATACCCATAAAGGATTTTTTTTTTGATAGTACAAGAAGATTGTAACTTAGTTCCTTCTTGATATTAATTTTTTATAGTTACAAGGACAAATCTTTTTTTTAAGAACAGTTAAGTATTAGATGTTTCCATTAAGTTCTATGGAAATGGAAAATATACTCTATTTTGTTTTAAGTAATTTGGAGTATGTAAGTTGGATGAAAATAAAATAGTGTCATTTGTGAATCTATGTTCTGTTGATTTCTCAACACGATTTTAAATTTTACATTATAATCCTCTATAATAATCAAACTTCTTATGTATTAAAAGCACGTTGACGTTTTTTTTCCTACGATCACCAGCAGTACCAGCGTACGATCAGCAGCACGATTAAGCACCAATATGCGTGGTTGTTATAGGAAAGGTTGGCCGCTTGAAAATATCCCGTTTTTTATTTTGGCTGGTTTAATTTTTGTGTTGCTGGTAAAATTTGCGATCCTTAATGCTGATTACAAGCAACCCATTAACACATTTTGCGATATCGTCTGCTGTTTATAAGAGGTATTAAGAATACAACGCGGTACCGTTCGGCCTAGAACCGAATAGCGATCATGGATGTCGTTTACAAATATGCGACCCGGCTGGCAATCGCCACCCTGACTATATGGCCAGTCCGACCCTTGCATGTCATCATGTTTTATCGTTGATATTCATACGACTTTATCAGCTTATGCCGCGACCGCACATGCGACCTTTGGTGATTTCCGAGCGCTCGTCAACGGGGCTTCGCCGATTTCCGATCAGTGTGGACGGGGAAGTTGGAGTTCGGCGAAGAGGACTAGCGCTCGTCTTTATGTTGCTGATGGACTTTTGAACAGAGCTCGACGATGCCCGCATGTGTGGACGGAAAGGCGAAGTCCGATGACGAGCCCTCGCAAATCGCCGACTGCCGCATATGCGGTCGCGGCATTAGGGTCTAAAATGGATATTCTGCTGCATCTGCAATTTTAACTAAGTATAGCAAAACATAGCATAATGCCATCCATTAAATGTAGAAATTTTGATAATAAATACGATAAATTAATAATAGATATCTAAACGTATTTAAACGTAAACTACGTAAAGTACATAAAAATAAAGAAAATAAAACTATAAATTAATTGATAATGGGCACAAAAAATCATAAAATTGTGCTACCTGTTTAATACATTAACATTTTAGTTCTGCAGTGCACGCACAACGTAACAATAACACAGCGTTGTCACGAACTTAACTAATTTAAACTTTCACGCCATATTTTAAAATTGTTAAACCCTACTTGACAGCAATGATATTGCTGTTGCTAAATAGCCCATGCCAATGGTCACTGTCTCAAACACTATATTTTCTCAATGTATGACATCAGTAGTAGACCTCAGTGAGACTCTAGATCAATAATATTTATCTATGGTTTGCAATCTATATAATTTACATATTACCTTACGATAATGAATTATTTAATTTATAATAGAAATCGTAGATAATTTCAATAATTAGTTATAACAACAGTAATATTAGATAGTATAATAATAGTAGTTATTTCTTACCCTATTTCTACATATTTGTGATATGCTATACCAGTCATCAGAATCTCCAATATTCATTCGATAAAAACAAATTCTTGGCACTTGCATCAAAGCACAGGTTCTAAAACAAAAAGAAATATCGTGAAATTTATATTTCGCAAAAATTAATAGCAGGTAAATTTGAACAACTGCTTTTATTGATAAAAGTGAAATAAATTGCGCCTTCCGATTTGTAAAACTTAACTGAACGGATAATGGAATGCAATCAATAATACAATTCATACAGAGCTGTCAGGAAGCGTAAAAGTAACAATTCAGTTTGCACTCTACTATAATTCATCAAACTGTTAAAATTTTATAAACTATATTGTTAACGCTTATTAAACATATATTTTAGGACTGGTTCAGACGCCTCCTACAATTTAGTCAAGTGATCGAATAATTTACTCGGCCAGATCGAGACGATAAATAGAATTCTAACTTAATTATCTCGCTGAAAAGAGAGCCACGTGATTTGTTAAATCTGCAACTGATAATATTGAAGAATATTGAAGAATATTGCATACAGAGTGGGTCCGATTTGTATTCGGGAAACTTCGGCAGGACACTCTACGTTTTGGAGAAGTTTCATTTTTATTTCGATTTTTCCCAAATAATTTCAGAACTAATTTCAATAATTGGATGAAAATTGGTGTCAGGTTTTTTCATGAGAAATTTAATTTGGGTGTCAATATGACTCCTACATGTAGGGAGAGACACCTACATATTTCTTGAACTGATTTGAAGAATAATGACTTTTTATTTGTACCTACAGGGTGGCCCATCGAAACGTTCCGCAAGGCATAACGGCCAGGGTAATTTTTTTTCAGAAAATTCAAAAACACGTCAATTTTGTTTGTGAGGGGGACAACTTTTGCCCCAAAAATGATTGCAAAATCTTCAACCCTGTAAGCGGGGGTGTCATCCCCCAATTTTTTTCAAACGGGAAGGGGGGTCAAGTGGTACCGCAATGAAAAGGGCTTTCTATTCTTTATACTTTCCGGCATAGTTTTTGAAAATCGGTCGAGTCATTGAGAAAATATGAAGGATTGAAATTTGAAAAGTTTATTTAAACATTTATCAGAGTAAGGGTAATTTTTTTCGACTAATTTGTTTTTTTTTTATTATTTCTAGATGTTTACGCATTTTTTCACTTGCCACAAGGTTGAACGATCAGGTGCGGTAGTTGCTAGATAGCTGTTCTGTGACTTATGCGTTGAAGTTCTTCTCAATATCGTTAAATTTTTTAACAATTATTATGGTGTACTCACTTGCAGAAAAATTGGAAATAATTGAACTTTATTTTAAAAATAATGAATGCGGCAATCGGGTTGCGCAGATATTCAATGAACGCCATCCTGACAACCACCTTTATGGCAAAATTGTTCGCGAGTTAGTAGCAAAATTTCGCGAAACTGGTTCCGTTATGAATAAAAAGAGGCAGAGGGAAAATCCTGTAGTAAATTAAGCTATGGAGGTACTCGTATTGGGCCAAGTTGCCATGGATAGTACGCTGAGTACAAGAAAATTAGCCAATGAGACCGGCGTAAATCGTACAAGTGTCCAAAGTATATTAAAAAAACGGAAGTTCCACCGGTACAACATTCAGTTGGTACAACTCAACGAAGACGATTTTGATCGTCGCTTGCAATTTTGTGAAACTATGAGTGAACGAGTGGCGAATGATAATAATTTCCGATTTAATGTGTGTTTTTTGGATGAGTGCACTTTCTTTTTGAACGGTGTAGTTAATCGGCACAACTTGTCGGTACTGGGCTGAAGACAACCCCAGGGTTTTTCACGAGGTGCACACACAAAACCCTCAGAAATTGAACGGTTGGGCTGGTATTTTTGGAAATTCTATTGTGGGTCAGTTTAACCATATTGAGAAGAACTTCAACGCACAAGTCACAGAACAGCTATCTAGCAACTACCGCACCTGATCGTTCAATCTTGTGGCAAGTGAAAAAATGCGTAAACATCTAGAAATAATAAGAAAAAACCTCAAATTGGTCGAAGGAATTTATCCTTATCCTTTACTCTAATAAATGTTTCAATAAACTTTTCAAATTTCAATCCTTCATATTTTCTCAATGACTCAACGGAATTTCAAAAACGAGGCGGAGAAATATAAAGAATAGAAAGCTCTTTTCATTGCGGTGCCACTTGACCCCCCTACCCATTTGAAAAAAGTTGGGGGATGATACCCCCGTTTAGAGGGTTGAAGATTTTGCAATCATTTTTGGGGCAAAAGTTGTCCCCCTCACAAACAAAATTGACGTGTTTTTGGATTTTTTGAAAAAAAGAATACCGTTGCCGTTATGCCTTGCGGAACGTTTTCGATGGGCCACCCTGTATATAAAACTACTTGATAAAAAAATATACATTTTCGGTGTGTTTTACTTAAAAAAAACTTCTTGGTACAAATCAATGATAAAATATTTGGAATATAAATTATCAGTATGTCGTTAATAACAAAAAATAAACATGTTGACTAGATAGTTATTTGACTGAAATGCGACAAATCTGGCAACTTTTTTTTTAAATTAATCATAAATCATAATTTTTTCTAGAACAAATTATGATGAAACAGTTTCTGATGGACCTTTGGCGCAAAAACATTTCAAATTTATTACTTCAATCGGATAACTATCTATAGTCAACATATTCAATTTTTGTAAATGATGACATGTATTGATTTTTCGATTCCAAATATCTGGAGAACCATTAGTCGTAGAAATTTTTAATAAAAAACCTTTTTTACGAAAAAACGGCGGAATTGTATATTTTTTTCATTCGATAGTTTTATACAGGTTTGAACAAAAAGTTATTATTATTCAAACTATTTAAACTATGTAGGTTGCGCCCTCTACAAGTAGGAGTCATATTGATATCGAATCAAATTTTTCATGCCAAAAAAGTTCCAGACACCAATTTTCATCGACATATCGACGATAGTTAGAAATTACTTGGAAAAACTCGAAATAACAATGAAATTTCTACGCCGAAATGAAGTATTTTAAAACATAAATTCATACAAACTTTTTTATTTATTTTTTTGATCTGCAGAATATGCTGCGGAAGTTTCCTGAATACAATTCCCTCTATATCATACAAGGTGACTCTTAGTGCAAATTTTTCATGGTTGGTAGATCTCGATAAAAGAAATATATTTTCCTTTTTCCATTTCCAAGCAAGTCCAAAATAACCGAGTTATTTTACTTTAAAAAAATTTTGATTGATACTAAACTTCTGAGGAAACTGGCTTTTTTCCAGGGTTTTCGTTCCTCTAAATTTAATCCACTACCTATGTTTCCATGTTATCGAGATATGTTTTTAACTGAAAATTTAAAAAACAATTTCAATTTTTTTTGGCTAATAAACATTTTTTTGGGTAATAAACCTCATAATGTTCCTAGAATAGAAATATACTACACCTAAAAATACTTGCACTTATTTAAGACTCATCCTGTATAACCTACAGACGTTTAAATTATTTCGTATAATATTTTGTATGCACAGGAACATAATTTTAAGTGTCTTACTCAATTTATAATTTTTCTGTTTCATATTTTAAGATAGTAGAAAGATTTTCTACTATGTAATTTTTTGCGACGATGCCGATTTTTTATCTGAAATTTTTTTAAAACGTCAATTTTGACAGATATGACGCCATCTTGATTTTTTTTTAATGGAAACCACCTAATATTTTAGTATCTTCCGGTAGACAAATTTTAGCTAATTTCAAAAATATATAATTTAATATACTTTGCACTTACCGATTAGAGTGGTTTTAAGAATGAAATCTTCCAGAATCATTTTTAGCTTCCAGAATTATTTTTAGAGCAATCCAGTTTACGATTAGCAATTTTTTGCAAAAGCTAATTTCAAAAATATAAAATAGTTTAGTATATTTTGCACTTATCGTTTTCGACATACAGTGGATTTAATAATGAAATGTTCCAGAATCATTTTACGTGTCTCACCAAATTTAATATTTTTCTGTTTCTTATTTTAAGATAGTAAAAAGATATTTTAATGTAATTTTTCGCGAGGGCCGTTTTTGCCGATTTTTTATCTAAACACTTTTTAAAACGTCAATTTTGACAGCAATTTTCTGTAAATATTTGTTTTCTTAAAAATTGTAAATTGAGTAAAGCTTGATTTTCATGCATCCGTTATACCGTTGATACGTATATCCGTTGATACGATGGTCCGACGGTGCTCTCATTGGTCATAGCGTTTTCGCGCCACTTTTCATCCATACATATTTTACTTCAGCCCGTCAACGGACCCGTTCATACGATAACGGACGTTTTGGCACTTTTTTGACAAATTTAATCTAACCTTAAAAAAAAATATAAGTAAAATAGCAAAATCATTATGGAAACGAAAATATAAAATGACACCAGCGTATATCCGATAAACGGAGGCATAAAAATGTAATAAATTTAAGAACTGCATTATTTTCTAACCAATCAAAGTCTTTAAATTCTACCAATAAAATTAATATCGTATCAACGTATCGTCGGACAACGGATGCATGAAAATCAAGCTTAAGACACTTGAAAGTCTCTGAACCTACATGATTTTTCAGACAATATTTCAGCAGATAAAAAAAATATCGATTTTAACGTGAAACTGCCTTATAAAACAACTTCAAATTACTATAGTAAATCAGAAAACAGTCTAAACAATTCTTCAATTTTTACTCGCCATTATACCAAAATACTTGATTCGTCTAAAAACATCTTATTATTTGATTAAATTCTTGTGCTATACCAATTTACTGAAAACATCCGAACTATACTTTACAATCAGCTGTCGCTGTCACTTTGAAGATCTTCAACTATACTTACTTAAAGTAAAGTACAAACTCTAATGATATTTCTACTATTACTGCTTTCCTGCTGTGGCGTAATTTTTATTCTTACACTCATATGTGGTAAAGTCCGAAATTCTATAAAATTCATGAAAACTCGATAATATTTCCTATTCCTTCGATAATAATCCCTTTTTTATTTTATTACTGAAATATATACTTACTTCGGAAACATAATTTTAGATCTGTCTCCAACTGCTTCAATTAAAACGGCACCTGTTTCCACTGCATTTAATACCTTGTCCGACAATTCCTTATTGCTGAACGTCAAACAGATATCAATATCTTCCTGATAAGCCCTCCGAACGAATGGATCATTCTTATCTAGAACTGGATTCTGCCGCCAGACTAGAAACTCCTTATGGACGACAGGATCAACCTTTAAAATAAATGAATACATTTATATACAGTCTCTGTATTGTTAAACTTATTGGTATAAAGAGTATATCGGGTTTTTTTCAAAAGGTTCACACTTCTATTTTTTCAGATAAAAAAATTACATTTCGTATGATAGTATATGACATAAATCAGGATTGATTGACGGATTCAACTAGTTTCGGTAACTTTCTGTTTCACCGGAAATGATTTAATTACTTTTAATTTATAAATGGTTTTATCGAGTTTTTTACTTTATTAACAATATAAAATAACATTCTGAATAAACATTAATAACAATTATAAAACCTCATACCCAAGAAAGATAAAATAAACTATATGGATATTCTGAATAAAATGACATATATTTCAACTTGAACTTTTGACATTTCCGTTTGAAAAAAAGTTATATTTTAAATTTCAATTTCTATGGTTGTGTAAAGCCACTAGTCGGTAGTTATGCCAATGCGACAATGATTAGAATGGTTACTGACGGAAACAGTACTGGGAGAATTTTCAGGTCAGGGGCTTGGAACACCCTCAAAAAGAAAATTCCACTTCTCCAACTCCCAATGGATGACATACCAAGAATTTACAACTTTGAGAAACACCTCACTGTAGTATTGAGTAATAAAAAGGATTGGAAGAAAGAGACGCTTACTCAGCATATAAAAGACCATACCATCATGTGGTATACGGATGCTTCCAAAACCAAAGCAGGGACAGGGATAGGAATATTTGGGCCGAAAACTGAATACTCCGAACCAATGGGCACCTACCCCAGTATCCTTCAGGCAGAAATTTGCGCTATCGAAAGATGCGTACAATTTATCTTAGATAGGAACTATCGAAAACAGAAAATTGGGCTTCCTATCCGATAGTCAAGCAGCACTTAACGCGATCAACTCAGTAACCATCAATTCGACGTTGGTCAAAGAATGCCTGGAGAAGCTCAACAAATTAGGCAAAGAAAATAAAGTCCTCCTACTCTGGGTGCCTGCTCACCAAGGGATAGAAGGCAATGAAAAAGCAAATGATCTAGCTAGAAAAGGAGCGAACACTCCACTAACTGGACCAGAACCGTTCTGTTTTCCAAACGGGAACCAACTGAAAGCGGAACTGAAGAATCTGGAAGACTCCATCCGTAACTTGGAATGGGTGTCCTCCAACGGTCTAAAAACACTCGAAAAGTTCCTTAGAATTTATGACCGAGAAAAATCAAAGGTTTTCCTTGATTTAAGTAAAAACAATCTTCGGATTGTCACGGGGTTTCTAACAGGACACTGTCTCCTCAACGAACACCTCAGTAGGCTGAAACTGAGAAACAACGGCGAATGCAGATTTTGTGGGGAAAATGGGGAAACACCAAAACACCTTATCACTGAGTGCGCCGAGACGACGACCATTCGTGCCATGAACCTTGGTACGTCTGATGTCGAGGATGGAGAGCTGGCCTCTGTCTCAGATACTGGCTTTTCTTAAAGCCCTGAGACCGTATGATGAGTTATAACTCGTTATAACTCAAGAAAGGGGAACACACAATAGATCTATAAGGTCACGGTGATTAACTCCCCTCCTAAACATTCTACATTCTACAAAGCCACTAATTTTAAATCAAAGAAACTTGGAGAAATAGATTTGATCATCTAATATTTTTCGTGACTTTTGCTGGCTGTTTAAAGGATGCCCAACTCGTATCTGAAATCATAACTCGTTTTTTTCAAAGGGAACAGAGGTGGTTTATTAACATATTTGGAAAAAGTATTTTCCTACAAAATATGTGGTACCACATACTAGGTATTTAGAGTCAAACTGTCGTTATGAACACAGCCATTACACTTTAGATTGAAATTTAAAATACAATTTTCTATGGCCCCTCTACACGTTGGCCAATGTGTTCGCCAGTGCATTGGCCAATACGTTGGCACACGTATTTTCCAGGCTCTACACGTTGGCCAGTGCGTTGGCCAATACGTTGGCACACGTATTGGACGTATTATTAATTAAATTCTGTGAACATGACGTTTAGTTTGTCTCGACGCCAAGATAAAAAATGGATATCCGGACGGTAGCGACTACGACAATTTATTTAGTCAGTGCGTATCTTAGTGTGTACCATGTGTGTACCATTACGGAGTTATAAAAAAATGATGCAGTTTAATACCGAAATCAAAAGATTTTCTAGAATGATATCGTTGGGTCAGTGATTCGGTTGACGCGCTCTGGATCCAATGGTCGCGAGTTCAATTCCTATACTTTTTTAAGTTCTGATTAATTTGCTTTTCATCTTCGTCTTCGTGATTATTTTATTTTTCAATTTTAATTCGAATTTGATTGATTTAAATTTTTGGATTTTAAAATTAAATGTCTTACAGACAGCTGTTCTATTGATCGGTATCAATAGTGAGCAACAAGACAAAAACAGTATTCTCGTGGTTTGATTGGTCGGGATTATTGGTGATTTTGCCACTCATAAAATGTCTAATATTAGACATTATTAAATAAACTAAATACAGGGTGTCAGTGGTGTAACTAGAAATTTTTGGCTTCCACATAACTTTCGACGATTGGGCCCTTGGCCTCATTGGGTCCTAGCCCCGTATCTCAATTTTTAACCGGGTATCCCAATATTCCATGGACATAGAGCTACTACGTGTTTTTGGGATCAAAATAAGTTCATTGGACACAATTTACCTCTATAAAACGTGCTTCGTTTAACAGTTAGAGGGTATCAAACTTTAAACAAATAAACACATTTTTTGAGATATTTTAAGAATTTCCGTTATTCTGATTTAAACTACATTTGGTGTTTGTATTTTTTGCTGATTATTAGGCGTAAATTTTTATTTAATCGTCAAAATACCATGAAAAGTCTTGTCTTCGAGCCCCATCTACATTTTGAGTTTCGCCCCCCTAGTTTACATAGGGTCCGAGTTACGATGCTCCAAGATCAAAAAGTCAACGTTACCACTTTTGCTCCCGCGTCCCGTCACGGCCGTGTTCCAGCCTTCAGTTTTTACTTCCATCGCGTGTAAAGAAGTTTCACTTTAAAAATTCTCCAATTTTTTTTTCTCAAAATCTAGGCGATGTGGCTTTTTTACAAGGGCCAAAAAATCTAGTAAATACTATGAGGTTCATTTTACGAAAAGAAGCCGTCGCGCGTCGGTAGAATTTGAAAATATTTTTATTAAAATTATTTAAGTAGAGGTGGGGGTAGTTCTCACCTTTCCCGTACTTTTTCACATTTTTACATTTTTCTCACAAATCTAGTTCAAATCGGAATATCGGTTCTTAAAATAATCTCCTTGATGCCCTCTAACTGGCAAACAAAGCATATTTGTATAGAGGTAAATTGTGTCCTCGATTGTGTCCAATGAACTTATCTTGACTCCGAAAAATAAGTAGTAGTTCTATATCCTGGGAATATTGAGACACCCCGTATATACACAGAAAAATATCACCGACCAATCACCGATCAATACCAACTCCCTTTGATGTGTCTTGAAAAAAACCGACAACAGATGGATCGGTCGCCAATGTTTGGGCGAACTCGACCAGTGCCGCCAATACGACCAATGGTCCCCTCTACACGTTGGCCCAACGCGTTGGCCATCGTATTGGCCAACGCACTGGCCAACACATTGGCCAACGTGTAAAGGGGTCATTTTTAAAGTGTCTTGAAAAAACCACAGCAAACGGATTGGTCGCCAATGCTTGGGCCAACTTCAGCCAGTTCAGCCAACACGACCAATAGTCCCCTCTACACGTTGGCCCAACGCGCTGGCCAGCGTACTGGCACATGCATTGGCCAACGTATAGAGGGGTCATTAGCAAAAATGCCAAAAGTTGACATACCTTATATCATTCTATTCAGAATGTCATTTTCAATCAAATAAAGTAAAAATAACGAGGGTACTATTTAAAAATCAAAAGTTTTATTGATTTCCGGAAAAACAGGAAGAGAAGTGACCACCACTAATTGAATACTTACAATATACAATCAATTCTGAATACTATTAATACTAATTTATATCAAACCTTGCTTTTTTTTGTCTGCAAAAATAAAGAAGATGTAAGGGTCACATATATTGGTGTGTGTTTTTTTACCGGAGGTATAACCTCAAAGGACATTGAAAAAATATCAATTGCTTGAGAATCTCAAGAGAAAAGAAAAGCGTAATGTTCTAGTTTGATAGTTTTCTAAGATTTTCTACTTTAGTGTTTGTATTTTTTTATTGAATCTTGTTGATTATGTTAAATATACTCTTTTATGTGTTGCCTGTATTTTTCAGGTGTTTTTTAAATTTTATTATTCTTTTAAAAAAAATGTTAAAGCTAGATCTATTTTTATGTAAGACATAAATACGACTTTGGCTATATTTATACAGTATGTCCGCGGATAAAGAACCACAAAACATACTTAGTTTAATGCTACGGAAAAGGTGATACTAGTTATCACAAAATAGGTTGATTCCTATTTTGTGCGAAAGGGTGATGGTTAAACAACAACAAAAAATATGACGTTAATCAAAATAAATAATAATAACCATCTACAGTATGTCCCTGGACTCTCTTTACAAGAGGAAAACCTATTGGCATTTTGAGAAAAATGCATTCTTTTTTTTTTAAAAAAGGTTTTAGATTTTTAGGATTTTTTTTAGGAAAAATTTAATTCTAAGTTCATGTTTTTTTTTTAATTTTAAACGGTATGGAAATATATGGGTCACTTCTGAAAAATACCCGGTATAAAATGAATTGAAGATGTGATACGTCTACCATTTAATTTCTAACCAAAATCATGAAACTATGTAATATTGTGGCATATCAATATACAGGGTGTCCCACGATTAGTGCGACAAACTGAAAGGGGTTGTAGATAGTATCAAAACAAGTCATTTGTGTTATAGGCTATAGCTAGTCATATAGTTCTTTTATAAAACTCACTTTTATTTTTCTCCCAGCCAAAAACTTTTACTTTTATACTGGATGCGCGTTTCGTTAACCATGTTAGCATCAGCAGCAGGTAATTAAAACTCAGTTTAGTTTGTTGCTGTGTAACACCAAAGATTCCAACCCACAACTGTAATAATATTTTATGTAAACGGAAGGGAAACGGAAGGTAGCTGATACGGAAGGTATAGTGAGAATCTTAGGTGAGAATCAACCTTAAATAGTAACATATAGTTAGTGAGACGGGAATGTTCTTCTAGACGCATCCTGAATCAAGTATAGAAATAACCTAAGTGAATCAAATAGTAAGGTACGATCGTCATTCATTTTGATATGAATGGACTTGCGGAAGAAGTATTATGTTTGAAAATGTTGTACAAGCAACTATTAAAATATAGCGATGACTGAACAGTTGTTATGAAATGTTGAGTGGTAATAAAAAAGGTTTTGAACTAATGGATAGTCGAAATGTATCAATTGGTTCTCCGATAACGATTTCAGATTCATCCTTAAAGAGTACCAAAGTTTACAGAATAAATACCTATGGAAATATTGCGGTACCTAGTGCATTTATGTTATATGGCATTAAAAAAAGAAAAATAATGTTAATTAAAAAATATATATAAAATGACTCTAGAGCTTAAATAAGCTCTAGAGTTGATTTTGGTAGGTCTTTCTTAAAAATTCTCATATTAGAGAAAATTATGGAAAACATTGCATAGGCAAAATTATCGAGAATAAAATATGGATTTTATTCTCGATAATTTTCCAATACTACTAACACATACCTCTAATATTTCTTTGCTTTCACAATCAGTTCCTGGTAAAAGGGCAACAGAATTGTCTTTGACTGGTGAGTCAGGAGGTGAGTTTTCTCGTCCATATTTCAAGTTGTAATGTGACGGCGACCTTCGATGTTTCTTGGGCACGCCTGCAAACAACAAAATCGTCTGCGTCACGAATAAAAATAACAGGGGATGAGGGTATTTTCCAAGTAATTGAGGAAAATTTTATGGACATAAATGCAAAATAAATACTAAAGTATAGAAGCCGTAAGGTTAAATTAACATAATTTCCACGCATAAATTTCCACGAACTAATGCAGACGTCACGTCATTGATTTTCTATTCTAATTATTTTTCTTGGTATTTTCCCATGAAATATTTCTTAACGAGTGACGTCATTTTATATATAAATCGTTTGTTTTATTTCCAGAAAAATGTTAAAATTACTTTATAATAATTTTCTTTATTTAGTCTTAAAACCAGTAATCACATTGTATTACGATTTTCTTGATAACAGATCTGAAGAGAATTTAAAATTATTTTTCTCTATTTCACCGATAATTTTCTGGTTAAAGATATGTATATATGTATATAAACAGAGCTAGTGTTCTTTCCTTTGGTGTAATTTTATTATCTTTTCTTCGAAAATTCAACTGAAAAAACAGGTAAAATGAAGATATTTTTTTTTATATTTAAAGTGTTTCGTTAAACTCATGTTACATCCAAATAGTTATACTGACATTGAAAATGCAACGCCTATGCAGATGCCTATGCTTTACTTTTCTTTTCACTATAGTTTGGCAACATTTTAGCCTACCACTAAATAGTTAGTGATTAGAATTTCGAGAACTCGAAATGTCTCGTACATACTGAGATATTCTTCCTTAATGTTAATAATAAGGTACAACATCTCAGTGTATTTTTCTATACACTTTTGACGTTGCCGTGGTATCGAGATTGGAGAAGGTCTCTTCTTTGGGTATGTTTTCCTAGGATACCTGAACTTCATTGCGAAGTGCATCCAGTGTTTGAAGAGGGGGGGGGGCAATCAATTATGTTGGAGAAAGGTCTGCAGATCGACGGATCCACTGAAGAAGATTTATACCGGAAATTTCAAAAAATTCTAAAGTTATGCTGGCCGCATGTGGTCATGCTGAAAAACTGGATATGCGAGAGTTTACAGAAATAAATGTGGCTGTAGCACCTCCTTAATGAATCGCTGGCCGCTCATGTCACCTTGAATGAATACTAAGCGTGACCTGCTGCCGTAAGCAGTGGCACCTCGTACCATAACACCCACGGTGCAGTGAACATGCCGTTCAATTGAAAATTGAGCACATTCCGTCTTTCACCACGTCTCCTGGAACGGCCATCATGCGTCCCTAGGCAAAATGTTTATTCATGGCTGAACATATCTGAGCTCCATTTCATATTCTATTCTCGTCTTTCACTACTCAATTTCAATCGTTGACATCGATGCTGTGGGTTTAGGGGTAGACCAGATAAGGACGTTATGGAAACAGTTTTATGGTAAGAGGTGCCATGGCTTATGGCAGCAGGTTACGTTCAGTATTCATTCAAGGTGGCATGATCGTCAGCCATGAATCAATATTTTGCCTAGGGATGCATGATGGCCGTTCCAGGGGACGGCGTGGTGAAAGACGGAATATTCAATTTTCAACTGAGCGGCATGTTCACTGCACCGTGGCGTGTACGACAGAAGGTTAAATTTAGTATTCATTCAAGGTGGTAATTGGCCCAGTGATAAAAAAAGAGGTCAAAGAGGTGCTACAGCCATATTTGGTTGCTTTTCTACAAACACTCGTATATCCGGTTTTTCAGCAGGATAATGCACGACATGTGACAAATGTAACTTTAGACTTTCTTTAAGGTTCCGGTACAAACGTTCTTCAGTGGCCCCCTCGATTTCTATTTCTTTCTCCAGTAGATCATATCTAGGATATAATGGGAAGAGGCATGATAATTTACTGTACCCACAAACACTGGAGGCTCTACGCAACGAATCTCAGGTGGCATGGGATACTATACCCCAAAATGAGATTAACCACCTTATTCAATCCATGCCGCGACAATTTCACGAGTGTATAGAAAACAGAGGAGCATCAGCTCATTATTAACATTAAGGTAGGACATCTCAGTTTTTACGAGACTTTCCGCGTTTAAATTCTACTACTACTTAGTAGTAGATGAACATAGATCTTCATAGGTGTTGAACTCTCAATGTCACTTAGCATTTTATCACTTTACTTAACTTAAACCTAAGTATAAAGTCAAAAGTCAAAAGTACAATCAATTTTAAAATTTAGTTAGAAAGTATTAAATCTGTGAAGAATTAATTCTGTGTAATTTTGTAGTTTTTAAAAATGTGAATATAGGCAAAACGGGGCCTATATTTTTTAATTCATACTCTTTAGTTCTACTAAACTGCCAATCCTTACTAATTTTATAATCGCGAAAGTTTTTATGTCTGAATCTGTTACTCTTTCATGCAAATACTACTGAATGAATTTTAATGAAACTTTACAATAATATAGATTATACATTACCATAGGTAGGCTATAAATTTCGGGTAAATAATAATAATTTGGGTAATTCGGAACTACCCTACTACCGAACTACTAGTTCAGTACTTTGGTACTTCGGTACTTCAGTACTTCGGTACGTCGGTACTTCGTTCGTTCGTAGTTTGGTAGTTCGGTACTTCGGTAATTAACGTATACTTTAGCCATAGCAACGTTTAGACGGTTCTGCTAGTAAGATATATTTTTTAAAATTGTGTATAATCAGTGTTAAAAAAATATATTGAAATACTGTTAGTCGTATTGATTTTATGACGAATCTATATTTAAAATACTAATTATTCATAATATTGAGACGAAAAATGTCGTTAGCTAATGGATATTTACATTATATGAGTATTCTATGAATAACAGGAAAACTTTTAACGTGATTAAAACCCCGGAAAAGGAGAATTAATATGTTAATAGTTCTCCTAAGTAATTTATGTATAATATAATACAGTTTTAATGAAAACTTAAGCGAACACGCATATTTATCGGAAATATTGCATATATTGAGGGAGTGAACTGCAAAATCCACTTAAATTAGTTTTAGATGATCAGTATAGAATAGTGGCTCAATTATATTTAATTTATTGTTCAAACCTTGTTTGAACCTTGCTGGTGGTGTACAGCACGGGATTTTTTCTTTTTTAAATTATTATCTTTTGTAGTGGGTAAAATTTGAATCTTAGTTTTCGGATAATTGCTCTTATCGCCTTGATCACATACATTATTAAATACATCACATTATAAAATCCGGGGAATTTCTGCATATAATGCCAGTGCCTAGTCACCCAATCGATAATTCAAAATCCAAGCTTCAAAATAACCCTGGCCACTTTATTTCCGTGGTCTGTACTTTAATGCATACGACAGATATAAATATGTACGACCAGTTGAGAGAAAGAGAAAAAATAAAAAGCGGCATACAGTGTTGCCTGTTCGTACGAGATATACAATAATGCCCATTTCTGTTAGACAGTTGTTAAAGGATCTATTATAGCTGTAGTAAAATGAGTAACTAATAATTGTGCAAAATAAAGTTCCAACCCTAGATGAAACATTTCTCGTGAACACCTTCTGAAATTTTGAAGCACAATCCGACAATATCGCATAGAAGAAATGTCTCTACCTAACTTTTATCTCTTTTTAGTACATTATTTGATTTTCCATTTAAGCTGTCTACATCACTGTCTTACGCATTAGAATCCAGACCACGCAGTTTCGATGACCAGATCGGTACATGAGGAGTAAGTTTTATTAAATAGTGCATATTTTATAATATCAAAAAAATACTCATTCAGTTTCTTTTTAATAGTTTTACCAAAATTATATTTTGTCCAAAAATATAGACGACAAAATTATTAAAAAGGGGAAGTCTGATATATTTTTGAAATCACATTGTGGATGTATATTTAAAAAAATAGTTCAGTCAATAACTGTTCATATCAATAACTGTAACATTTGACAGCTTATGCTATTTAACGGTACTTATCAAACCTTGACTAAAAACGCTGTAATTTTTTTAATTACTGTTCTAGCTCCAAAAATAAAAAAAGGCTCAATTGTATAGATAGATAAGTTCGAAAGTTAACGCTACAAAATACCCTAAAGCTAATTCGGGAGTTGAAACTCACAGTTGAAGAATTAAAACTCAAAATGTATACCTGCTTCATCTTTAGAGATTTGTGGGTGTAAATGAGGATTGGGTGAGCTTGGCGTAGATGTCAGTACCAGCGTTTTCAAAGCTGTAACTTCCGCAGTTAAAACGTCCACCTTCATCTGGTTTTCTTTCAGAGCTTTCTCTGCAGCAGCTTGTTTCTCATTTGCTTCCCGAACCATATTATGGGCTTCCTGCAAAATTTATTTCATATAAATTGATATATTTTGTAACAGCTATTTAGAGTAGTGATGTGTCGGTATTTGAGTAACGCGTTTTTGGAGCGGTATTTTTTTGTAACGTCGTGTCGCGCTCCACTACGAATCAGGAACCTGTTACTGAAGAACGACGATCATAATAACGACGAAACTATAAATTATTCATAATTTGCAAATAAATTATTTACAATCGCTCTTGGAGTTAGCTCGAACCGCAGTAACCGCATAGCGACGTGTTTTATGGTTATAACGTGTATCCAGGGGTGGATGGGCCATATGGGAAAACGGGAAAATTCCCGGTGGGCCGATCCCGATCAGAGCTCAAAAAAAGATTGATTTAGCAAAAATTAAATGGTTAATTTCTAACTAAAGTTACGTAAGATGTTTAGTGACTGCCTAACTAACTAATCAATTAGATCAATATAATCGTCAGTTGCTTTTAAACATAAGCAACAATTTGTAAAATAACTATTGTTATAGATGTCTTTCTCTGAGACACTTATAATTTTAATAAACATCTGTTGTTCCGTTTGAAACGTTTTATTATACAAGGTGAGTTTATAAGTGCATTTTATTTGTGCTGTTTTGTGCAAATATTTTAGTCACAGGGCTGGTAGATATGAACAAAAGAAACATACTATATTCTCTTTGCCGTGTTTTAAATACCTAAGTCCAAAATAACCGAGTTAATAAAGTTTAAAATTTAAAAAAAAAATGATTTAATTTTAAAAAAAAATCACCGAAATTTTTCTGCATTTGCATCTCTTTTTGTGCCGTAATATCAAAGATTATATACCGTGGGAACATTTGCGGTGTTTTTTTTTGCGGCATTTTTTTTGCAAAAACTTCATAGACGTGTTCCTAGAGTCAAAATATACCACCCCTGAAAATATTTGCACTTATTTAAGACTCATCCTGTATAGTTTTACCACTATTATTTTATTAATAACTAATAAAGACTCCGGCGAGCGTACAGTAGAAAAACGAGTGAATATCATCTAAATAGTCTCGATCTAAGTGTATACTATAAATATGGTAGCGTAGCTTGACAACTGGGGCACAAACTGGGGCCTCGGTGCAATACATTTCGAGCTCCTCTAAAAGGTAGGCGAATTTAACGCGAACTCTGCGGTTGACGGAGAAAACATGAAGATGGATATCTCTATGCTTGGTTTGAATTGGGGACAGTCTAAAAACCAAGTCTGAGAACTAAAAGTTAAATCTAAGTTGTTGTTTTAAATGTTGCTAGAATAATTTTACTAAAAATTAGTGAAACAGCAGAGAAGAGTTAAATAAGATTTAAACTAGATTAGATAATAAAATATTAATATGTCTCCAAAATCCAAATATTCTTATTACGGACCATAACATAGCATCTACCTCAGAACACATTTATATCCACTGCCTAGGTATTGCCTATACTAATATAGGTTTTTTTCGTTTGAGTCATGGCATTATTATACAAGATGCCAAATGTAGAAACGAGTAAAAGTTACGTGATGAGAATTAAACCAAAAATTAAAACACGTATACACGACGAGGCTGCCGCTGTACCAGAAAAGAGAGAATTTCTTTCTACTATGTGTAAGAAAGTATGTATATACCTGAAAAGCTAAAAATAATGTATTTCACAGAGGATTGGGCCAGCTAACCTGAATGAATCAAGAAGTCTTAAAGTTTCTCAAAATCGTGATTGAAAATCGTAGCATATTCACGATCAAATTACCGTTATCGATAATGGAAATAAAACAGTAGAACTCTGTGAAACTGACCTATTTTGTAGTAAAAATTCAGATGTCCGATCTGATATTGATCTTTATAAAAATTTTGATCAAGACAATTTCAATATTTTTAAAAAATCGGAGGCAAAAGAATTTTTTTCGCCCGAGGGAAAATTACCCTTACTTATTATTGTATAGGGTGTCCCAGAAATAAGTGCAAGTATTTAAGGGGGGATTTTGTAGCGGTATTTCTCTGGAGCGTTCGCTATTGCAACGCGACTAATGTGGAACCAGTATTCCCATCACTAATTCCCAGTAACAGTCAGTGAAAAACCCACAAATCAACTTTCTATAGGATGTTTCTTTGATTCAAACCTTCTCTTTTTCCGAAATAATGTCTCAAATAAATATGTCAAATTAATGTAATGAGTCTTTTTGGTATGTCACTCAAGTGGTTCACGGCGACATGTGCTGTGAAATATATTTCATTTGGTTTGGTTTCTCAGTAGAGATGAGCAACAAATCGCAGCCATTTTCTTATGATAACATAAGCAAATACTCGCAATCGCAATCGCAACCTGCGATTGGCTCTCATAGGAAATTGCGACTGCGATTTTTATATTTGCGAGTGTAGATTTAGGCAATCAATATTACTATAATTGCGATTTGCGACTTTGCTGCGATTTGAAATTTCTTCTACTTGCAAGTTTCAATTTAGGCAACCAATATTACTATAATTGCGATTTTGATGCGATTTGCGATTTTTTGTGATTTTGTAAACTAGGACCGTAATAACCTTCTATCTGCGAGTTTAAATTTTTAGGAGCTGCGATTTGCGATTTTGTTGCGAATGTAATTTTGTAGTCCATTGAAGCTTTTTATATTAAACTGCGATTGACTTCTTTCTCTGATTTTATTTATTTTTAGAGAAGGTATTATTTTCTAAGGCCAAGATCAATAATATACCGGGTGTTTCTCAAGATTGGTTCGCCCCTGTTACTTAATTTTTGCTCATCTCTAGACCTCAGTACAGCTCTCGTCTATGTATGCCTTTGTACGCAGATGTGGAAGCGGATGAGTAGAGCAATACTTTTTGCGCACAAATACATGCTATGTTTTGCTACCGATTATTTTGCTCGTCTATCTCAGACCAACATAAACACGGGCCATAAGGTCGTGAGTCGAACCCTGGGACAGGCTTATATCAGCTGTAGCCGAGTACCTAGGACAAAGCATCCTCAAATGTGTACTTAAGGAGTAAGGGGTCTATGAATTTGTGGAAAATTCCTAATTGTTTTATTTTAAACCATGTGATAACCCATATGCACGTCCCTGGTGAATATATCGATACTTTTTTAGTATTAAAATTTGTCGCACTTACTCTGAAAATTTCATTCGAATCGCTAAAAGTACTTAGAAAAAAATTGTAATAAATCTAAAAAAAATTAAAACTTTAACCCCTTGTAGCTACCAAACAAAGCAAAATCGGACCTATGTTGATATAAAGAATAAATCTTAATTTTACGTGAGGAATCTCCCCACGAGAGATGGAATATGTTTTTTGAAACACCCCGTATAATTTTTAAAAGTCGTTTATGTTCATTGCACCATAGATTGTACGAAAGTTATAATCTATATCCCGATGGACTATTTTCCTTTTAGCAGGTTACACTCTCCTTTTCTCTGTAAAATTAGGATTTAAATCTGTAATGCGGTTGGCCTTAACACCGAAACGCGTTAGTTTTCAAGGTAGCGGAAATTAAACATTAATAGTTTAGATAAAATGCGCAAAATTCTCGTAAAGACACTAAAAGGAAATTACATTAACCAGACTTTATCGGTAAATACTGATAATTATTTTTTATTAGCCTAATGCATTAAATTATTCAAAAAATGCTTATACAAAACTACATTCTAAAAAAATTATATTCTAAATGTAATGAATTTGAATGAAATTAAAAAAAATATTTAAAACATTAGAATTTTTTACAAATCTTAGACCATCAAAGTAACACCAAAATGTTACTTTGTGTATTACATATCACCTGTTTATTAATAAAATATGACCTTTTGAGGATATTCGGTCTGTAAATGAATAAGTTCAAAACATATTCAGGAGATGATTTTTAATGCCCCGTACGTTAGTTATACCGGGTGAGTCATAACTTTTTTATTTTTTTTAAAAATCGAGATTTGGTATGTTAGTATATGACATAAATTAGGATTAATTATTGACGTATTCACTTCTTCTCGGTCGCTTCCTGTTTCACCGGAAATGCCTACGACTTTTGATTTTTAAATGGCACTCTCGGTATTTTGTTATTTTATTCGATAGAAAATGACACCATATGTCAACTTTTGACATTTTCGAATATGGTTTATTTGAAATTGCAACATGTGATTCATAATGACAATATGACTCAAAATGCGAAATTGTAGTCATTTCAGGTGAAACAGGAAGTGACGCACTCCGTATAGTGTGAATAAAAATTGTAATACCATTATTATTTAATTTATAAAAAGTATAAAAACGTATCTTAACAAAAAGTTTGAAAAAGTTGTGTTGATTTATTATATAAAATAAAGGGTGTTATTAAATAAAAAGTGTTAAAGGGTGAGGCTTAAATAAGTTGCAAATATTTTTAGGAGTAGTACATTACGATCCCAGAAACGCCTCAATGAGGTTTTTTTCGCGAAAAGAGAAATCAAAATTTGAATTTTTTTAGAAAGTTTTTAAATTTTTAGTTAAAAAACATAATATCTTCTTAATATGGCATCATAACTACTATAAGTAGTGGAGTAAATTCAATCTCGGTTGTTTTGGACTTATTTGAAAATCGGCAAAGAGAAAATATGTTTCTTTTATCGAGTTCTAACAGCCCTGAAAAATCCTTGAAAATAATGCATTTATTTAAAGGAATAAATTCAGTAAAGCAAGTGAACTATCTTGGATCCCACATAGACCGTGGACTCACGCTCACGATGAGCCTGCACCTCAAGGAGGTGTGTTTGAAATCACAACGAACTGTTAAAGCGTTGTCCGCAATACTGCCAAACGTTCGGGGCCCAACACCAGCAAAGAGAAGAGTGTTAGCATATGCGTACCATAATATTATTATGTATGGATCACCTGTGTGGAATGAAGCAACCAATATTTACGTAAATAAACAAAGACTTGAGGGTGCACAGAGAGGCATGGCTTTGAGGGTCTGCTCGGCGCGGCGTATCGGACAACTGAAGCAGCCTTGGTGATAT